AAACCATTATTCAAACCATTGCAATTCAAAGCAGATTAGCAAGCTCTGGTTTCAGACTTCTCGCTTTATGGCCACGTCACAACGCCCACCAGGTTCAGGGGAACTAACCGGCCATTTATATTGGACCGAATATCCACCAATGAAGAACTGATGGTGGAGAGAGTGCGAACCGATACTCCTTTGGGCCGCAGTGATCTAGCGACGCAAGTATTTCATTACATGTGCTACGCGGATTATCCTAAAGAGTACGCCGAGAAATATCATGTCGTAACCAAATATGACGTACTGTCCGACGTCATTGATGCAACATGCTGGTCGTTCTTAGCTGGATTAACCCCGGAGGTGGCCTGCGGTGAATTCGTTAACATATTTACCAAGCTCGTGGCAAGGACATCTGAAACCAAACTCCACCGGCTTAAAAGGATGAAGTCTTTCGTAAGCAGCAGGACACTTAAACGCATGGCATTAAAGGACCTGGCATGGCACACCTACATAGCCTCCCCGAACGACCATACCTGGAATATCTACACAGTACAACGAAACCACTGTGTCAAACTCGTCCAGGTGGATAAACTGAAGAACCAACAAGGTCTAGTTGAAAACCTTTGCTCCAATCCCAAACTGCTATACAGACACGGAAAGAATTTGCGCCGTGTTAAGCGTGGTGTTCCTGCTCTGCACACAGCATGCGGGTTAGCCCAAACCGCACAAGAGGCGGCCAACCTTCTTGGCAACAATTTGGCCGTACCTTCCAAACGTGCAATCATCATACATCCTGCCTAAGCAGATAATGCCGCGATCAGGGCTTAATCACATATTGTTCACCTTCGCAGTTGTACTGAAGAGACCGATGTCTCTGCGCGTGTTTAGCTCCCCGGGTGCGGACGGCATTCGCCCGAAGGCGTTGAAAGTTGCTGCCATGACCACTAACAATTTTCTTTCAACGATGTCTGAACGAGATGCACGTCCCCACGATGTGGAAGCTCGGAATCATCACACCAACCTACAAAAATGGCAGCCTTGCTGAACCAGCAAATTATCGCCCGATAACACTACTTCCTGTGATCTTCAAGGTTATGGACTCCATTGTAACTGATACTTTGATGGGGTACCTAGAGAACAAAGAAAGTCTCGTTCCGGAGCAGCACCGATTTCGTCAGAATCGCTCTTATACCATTAATATGTTGATTGCTCGTGCAACTTGGACGGAATCTGTGGACGCTGGTATAGGAGTCGACGCGGCCTACTTGAATTTCTCAAAGGCATTTGACCATGTAGACCATCGCATTCTCCTCCACAAATTCCGGGAATATGGAATCGGCGATCCAGTTCTGGGCTGGTTAGGAGACTTTCTCGTGCAACGTCACCTGAATGTGAGGATTAGAAGCCAGCTGTCGGAATCCATCGAAGTTCGGTGCGGCGTACCTTAAGGCTCGGTACTTGTACCCCGCCTGTTCCTGGTTTTCATAAATGATCTCGCTAGCGTGCTATCTTCTAACGGTTTGCTATTTGCTGATGACCTAAAGGTATGGCGTTCAACAGCTGCAGTAGAGGATCACAGAGTGTTACAGGAGGACCTGGACAAAGCGTACAAATGGTCCATCGAGAACATGCTGCATTTCAACCTCACCAATTGCAAAGATCTCAGCATACGGCACAAGAGTATGCACAAGTATCGCTTAGGACCACAGATTCTACAGCGGGCTTCTCACGAGTGCGATCTCGGCGTGGTAGTTCAAGATGACCTCGGTTACTAGAAGCTGACTGAAAACGCAGCTAAGGCAGCAAACCAGTACCTCGGCCTACTTAGCAGAGCTTTCGGGAAGTTGACCCTTCAGTCTTTCCAAAAATGCTCAGTGCATATGTGAGACCGCACGCGGAATACGCTATTCAAGCGTGGCAACTCCGATTCAGACACCATCTCACCGCGCTCGATACTGCACAAAGTAGGGCAAAGAAAAGCTTCAGAGGTTTGATCAGTCTCCCTTACCCACTCAGGCTGAAGACCCTCAAAATATACAGTGGACATTATCGGCGTCTAAGGGGCGATCTCATAATGGTGTACCAGATCCTGGGAAACCCCAACCACCATGCCATTCCCTTCTAATACTCAGTCAAAACACCCTGCTAAGAGGTCACCAGTTCAAGTTAGTCACGCAATACAGCCGCCTAGAATATCGACAAAACTATTTCTTCCTTCGAGTGGCACAGCCTTGGAACGCCCTCCCGGAACCTGTAATTAATGCACTCACCCTATCCCTTTTCAAAAGATGCCTTGACGATATCCTGTCACATTTACACTACGTGCTATAGCTCATGACCACCAGATGCTGGCGCTAATGCACAACAGACAGTGGATAGTGCCATTACCCTACTCGAGAATGAGTCATTGAAAAAACCCTTGCACAAAATTTGATAAACGCTACTACTGTAGAAACTGGATTTTTGCATTCCGTCGACCCAAGATAGCTGCACACGGGTAAACGCTGTCCTTGCCACTTTCTATTTTTTCTCGCCTATTACGTGATCAATAACCACTCCCCTTATTGGTTTATGCGCGTACGTTCTCATTTCAAACTCCCTTTATATGGCAGTGCAGTTAAATCTGTAATCGCGCAAACTGAGGAGTCCATTATCCTTTGATCTATCTGTTTTTAAAGCTAAACTCCCAGCGGGACATGTTAAGCACCTGCTATTTTACCCGTTATACATCATTGTTCATTCATTGTTCAATATTACGACCAATTTTAGAGTACGGCTCAGATGCATACTGCCTTATCACCTGGGGCGAGGTAGAAAGGGTTGTGCAAGTACAGCATGCGGCCACTAAGCCCGTCTCCACTTTACGATAGGTGCACTACGAAGACCGGCGCAATAGAGTAGGAATTCGCACCTTGTCTTATCATCGAGTGTGGGTTTTCTGCATCATGATGCCTCGGATATCCCATTTTAGCGATTGCCTACTGTTGAGGCCATAGCTCCATATGCACACACTAAGCAGCACAAGAGTGCACGGGTATAAGGTTGTAGTACCGGATTTGGAGTGAATAGCTCACCAACTCTGTTTTCAACGGATAATGGTGGAGCTACGGAACAAACTGCCGCCGCACATATTTGAGGCAAAGTAGGTACCGGAATTCAAGAAATTCCTGCACAAACGTTTCACTAATGAAATATCTCGAACGTTCTGCAACATAACTTTGTACCTGAAGAACTTTAGATGCAAACGCATAGATACATCTCTTCTCTTCTTTTTCATCCAGTTCTGAATATTCCCCTGAAGTAGCTTTGGTTTGTCATAGTGAACTGAGTTAGCGTGAAGGAAGATGCGAAATAAACTAGCCTTATTTGCCTGGATTCCCACTGCTTACATATGGGTTCCCAGTGTTTCCTATTAGCCAGCAGTTCGTCTTTGAGGGAATTCGCGGCTGACTCCCGAACTCTTTATCACACTATCTTCATCAAGGTCTGCGTTCTCCTAGTGTTCACAACGTTTAATAAAAGCATGCTTCACTTCGCTGGAGGTGTGGCAGGTGGCCTTCGCGGATGCGCATTGGTAGTTTTGTCACACCTGACACTCTTTGGAGTAGCGACAAACGTACCCGCTAAATTTGCCTTGGGTCTGTATGCAGCCAAGCGTTTGATCATTTTAGATAAACACGCACGCAGTGGAATGCCACGTGCCACAGACAAGTCCCAGGGGGAAAACCACTTTTTGCAATATTGGAGTCGTCGGGTTTGGCAGACCGTGACTACCAGCCAGTCTGCCTGCTAATCTTCCTTGTTGAGGCAGCTGGTTCTACGTTTTTAACTATACGTTTGCATTGGATACTCTGTTCCAAGGCCGAGGTTCACTTAAGGCAACAGAATTGGAGTTCTGCTGTAGCTGGTTCCGATGCGGTCGCTATGCCAGCCGTGGTAAGCAGCGCACTCGCTGTCAGTTGGTCACATTTCTTTGCTAGCACGGATATGTACCGTAAGGGTGGGTTGATCGTGCACACTGTACAGAAGCAAATAGAGCTTGGTGTGCAGTGTCGTTTCTTCACTTTCACTATACTTTAATTTTTGTAATTAGGATGAAATTTCCGACTAAATTTACAAAAAGTAATGCTAATTCGAATAGTCGAAGCAGGATCTCGAATTACAAACCACTTTTGTCTGCTGCTTCGTGGAAACTGTACGCATTATTTTCCTTGTTGGTGTGTTGCGAACGGTCCCGAGACGTCAGTCAGATGGACGAATTGCGGTCGCCCTTTCTTTTCCAAAGTTAATTGCACTGAGCGTGTGGGGACAGGCACTCGATGTCAGTTGACAATGGGTTACGGGTGCGGCCACAGTGTGATCAAAGGAGACGGAGGTCAACACGCGACCCTCAAGTTGTAATCAGTAGGCGGTTCGTTATTGATCTGACCGGGTTTCCGCGTGGTAGAGTTGACGGTTGGAGAACGTGGTAGAATTCACGCTAGTTTGGCGAGTTTTACGCTAATGGCTGCTAAACGAGCTGCATCCATCAAACGGAGTGTGGGATTCTTGTGCTGAAAGGATAGCTAGATAGCGCTAAGCGCACCCAGTCGAATTATTGTGAAAAGTATGGTATGCAAGTAAAAAATAAACCGTTGTGTGCCCGCAGTTCCGCGATACTCCCACTAAACTTGCAGTACCTGCTGCAACAATGGTGTGTGCTAGACACTCTTGCATTGGCAAATCCGATGGATAGTGCACGATAATCCGAGTTGTGAATATGTAAGCACGGCAATTTGTGTCAAGAACCGTAAGTAGTAAATCCAACAAAAGAGGAGCCTAAAATCAGCGTTACCGCAGAGCTGTCGCCAGTCCGTCTACGTCCGTAGCAAGGAGGCTTAATGTGAACTCATACACTTTATTTCATGTCACTATAGGGTTTGTCACTCCAAAAAACACTCAAAAGTATATTCTATTTTGACAAACTCCGCGGTTTTTGCCATCTAACATTATCCTTCTTCTACTCTTTCTGCACGCAGGGCATCGATGCTCTACTTCAAGGTGATCTTCGGTGGAAGAACAACCTACCGATTTCCGTGCCCTGGTTGAAACAGATTAGTGGTGGATTGAAACTTCGAGTCTTCCCGGACAGTCTTGCCGATTATTTAGGCGCCAATTTTTCACACAGTGTTGACGACGGTGTCCTAACCGAGATGATGGTTAGATTCAGCTCTCATTATGTTTACGTACTACACAGTCATCTATCACGTAGCAAGCGAGTGTATCACTTACGAATTGTCACACCAGCTGTTGACATCAATGTAACTACCAATTACCGAATACAGCTTGGACCGTCAATAACGTTTACACTGGTTAACCAAATTGACCTGAACCAATCACCTTACATGCAATCAAGTACAGAGGTGTTTTACGAAGGGGAGACCAGGAAGTTGCATTTGTCTCATATCCTCAAAAATATGGATTCTCTGATCATAAGTCTTGTTGGTATCAGTGGCGAGCTGCACGCCGAATTAAGGAGCGATCCACTTGAAATCGATTACGTGGGTGCAGGAAGCATCCGACTGTACATTCCAATCTTGTATGTTGACATTGATTTTGAAGTGAACACAGCTTTCCAGATGCTGCTCAACATCGGCCTGATTCGATTCACCGTCTTGCGCAAAGAGGCTGACAGCGAACGTAAGGATGGTGTTGAGTTTTACACAAGTTATCAGTCTTTCCCCTTTCACTTCACTGCGAGTTCAGTGTTCGGGCTCTATTTGTCTTGCTTTAGTGATTCGAATGTGAACAAATTCTTAGGATGGGATTTCAGCTTCAACTCGAGCAGTAATGCACGCGTACTTGCAGTAAGCGCATTGCACCCAGCTTTGGGTACAATTGTATTTAATGAGAAGTACCGCTACTTCTCTGGTCGCGAAACTAAACTCGTTGGGTCGATTATGCTGGCAATCAGCTTGAGCAAACGACTGCACGATTTCACTGGTCTCTATGCTAATTACAACTACGGCTACGGCTGGAGCGACACAGAGTGCAGTGCAGAACTACACGGTGAGTTTACGTCTAACGCGGCCACTGGGCCGGGCACTCCCCTGAGAATATATGGTCGCTTGACCCATGATGGCACCTATAAAGCAGGCACCACGGAGCTGGCAGTCACTTCACAGCAACTTGGGTACTGGACCGGTTTCGAAATGCTCAGTGCCCTGTCAAAATACACACTGAATGGTACACAGTGGTTGAGCGAAAACTTGACACTGGACATTCATTCTATAATAGGCTACCGGCTACTTGAGGGTAGAGGAACACGTGCCATCGAGTTGACCGCTGAGTTCGTTTTGGGAGCATCCGGTGAACTGATTCTTGGTGTTATCAAAGCAGGATATCCAGGGATGGACAAACAAAATTCGATCGAGTTTGGATTAGTTCATACACCGGTTAATTTTAATTTGTGGTTCGGCGCAGTTGCATTTACAAAGGCCGAAATGCAAGCAAAAGTGTTTCTGACACACGCTTATAACTGGAGCCATTTGGTCGGTGGACTTGAATTTGACATCCCTAGATTGAATATCACCGTATTTGTTACAGAAAACATTGACATGGAAACCGAGATTCTTTTCCATGAAATCACAAATGTGAAGATACAAACACCAAGTGGGCACGAATTTAGTCTTTTCAAAGTCATACGACTAGAGAATCGCACGGATTCAGGAGGAACGATAATTAAAGGCCAATTAATCTCGCGATCAAACTTTCCTTGGATAGAAGATCTACAGCTGAATTATACGCACAGCTCAAATGGCACCTGGCAAGATATCTTGGTGGCAGGGGTATTGAATGATCAATACGGATTACAGGTTAATAAAATCAAAACACAAGACACAACTGCACATCATGTTCAGCTGCAGCTACAGCAGGACCTAGCAAAAGCGAGATTTGTGAGACGACTGCAGACTGAAACTGGTCTTAAGGATAAAACCGAAATTGCGCTGGATTTCCCGGGAGGGATGTATGTTCTTAGTGCAAAATGCCACATATTTACCTCTGAAATAACCTATCCAGGACAATCTACCTCTCGTAACATTACAGCTGTGCTGAATCTGCCGAAATTCGGGACGATACATTTGTACCACATTTTCCAGCATGTGAATAGGAAGCGATTTTATATCGATCAACTTATTGCTGTCAAGCAATCTGACATGTTCAGGTTAGAAGCGGAGTACATAAAAACAAAATTCGCTCACATGCGGCTAATGCTTGTGCCCCAAACCGTTCTAGGAACACGTATACAGAATCTCACACTACTGCTTCAACTTGTCTCTCCGACCAAATTCGATAACATCAAACAGAGTTCAGTGCATACTGTCTTTCAAATGGAACCCTGGTTTCCATTAACAGAGGGCAGATTCCAAGTGTCCACATGGGAATATTCCAAAGGCTCAATGAACGGTAGTGATACAGTCCACATCGATGAAGACAACCTTCAGAATGGCAACTTTCCTATCGATAACGCTAACGTACATGTAACGCGATACCAACTCCGGGGCATGTGGAACGATTCTACCCAGCTTTTTCTTTTGTTCAAGTCAAGTGACAACTCATTCGAAATCACAGCTGACTTGTTATCCAAGCACGTTCAACACCCGAATGTGTATGTTTTTCTGAGACATGATGGTGATGTAGATGGATGGACATCATCCTCCAAAGTAGATGTTGACGGTATTAATTGGTGGAACAGTGCCACTGAACTGGTTCATAAGAGCGCTCTTCACAAAGTCATGTTTAACATAAGCATTGGGCCACTAGTTGAAGGACTTGAACAGTACCGTCTTTTTGTCCATGGTAAAAACGAGTCAAATTCAATTCTTCTTGATGTCCAACAGCTTGGCCTGAGTATGATTAACAACAGGTTTTTTATACACACAAACCTTCCGATTGCTTATCAAGACTTGAACGTTGCACGACAGTTATACCTGACTATGAAGATGCTTGACGCCGCCTTCAGCATTGTCGTCGACGTAGAGAAGCTGGTTGCGAGGGTATATTTCGATGCGCTCGATGGTAGTCACCTGGACGGAAGAATCGGATTTGAGACAGAAAAAGCCGAACTTAAGTGTAATTGGCTAAAGGGGTACTTGGACCTCAATTCAACGATACCATCAGTACCTTCTTCCAAATTTTCGGTGTATCTTCGACAGACATCACCTGAAAAAGATCATATAAACATTCGATTTAATGTTTACTTGGAATCCCATATTAATAAGTTCTTACCGAAACGTTCAGTAAATATAAGCATAATGTCTTCTAATGTCAACGGTGAAACAGAACAACTTCTCCTGGAATCCACTGGTATTGGTTCACTCAAAGTGGCGTTGAAATTTCGAGCCTACAATGGTGCATATAGTTATGTGCACAGCATACAACATTGGTTACCCGGTGAGATTGATACACTGAGTGGATGGAATACGACAATGCGATGCGCAGTGAATGACTACCAGTTCACTGATTGTAACTTACGTGTGTTCTCTAACTCAAAACAAAAAAGTGTTGCGCTATCCGCTACATCGTATCCCAAAACATTTGCGTTACAAGTTGCTTGGGATGAACAAGAACATAAACTGATTGGATTAACACTTGCCTTCAAGAAAGGTCTTACGAATATTATTCTGAAGTTACCATCACGAGACCTGCGTTTACAGCTAGATATGAATCCAAATGACCAATCACAAGGTGGCAATATACTGCTTAACATTTCAAGTTTCTCTACAAGTGAAATCCTTGAACAAATACCGAAAACTGTCTACGCTGCTGCAAGGTTACATTATCATGGCAACCGCGAGGTGAAATCCCCATGGAACTGGTCTCTTAAGGGTGAAGTGCATTCCAACTTAATCGTCAAGGTAAGCTTCAAGTTGGTACAACGGCAATTCGCTCAATTTCCTTTTAGTTCATGTCCAACTGAATTTTTACTTATCAGTTAGTAAAACCTTTGCGGGCTCCACCGCGTTTGCCACAGTATCAAGTTTGTAGCCAAAGGCAGCTGTTTAATTATTGACAGGTGGTTTGTTTATGCGATTCTCAGTAAAATACAGGCCCATTTTATCGTATTTACCTATGACAATGTACCTTGGATGTGCGTCGATGCGATTGTGCCTTTCTCCACAAAAGAATTGGTTAATCTAGACTTGTGAAAAAATGACCACAAAATTCTAGAAAACTGAGATTATTCAAACAGCTCTCATAGAATTCTCTGATCAAGACAGACTTGATGACACAGAGCGAAAACAACGGTGTCTGTGGCTTACGCCTTACCACAACGGATATAATAGAAGTGTTACTTTAAAGTTAACAGGCAAAGTTAGCCAAGTATTTCTCCTAGTGATGAATAAGGTACCGTGTAGAAACAAAGGTAAAACTTGCGAGAGTTTAGAGAGATTCAGAAACAATCGGCTGATCTATTTGTTGGGTAAATTCGCGTCCTTGACGTAACGCTTTCATCCGCTCAGTTAATCAATAAATACGTGTGGCGCATTCTAACGTGAACCATGAAGATAACTGAGAAAACAGGGGTATGCGTCAAGTTTTTACCAGAATCAAAATTAAGGATAACACCTCGAGTTTTTTCAGTCACGGCTACAATTGTCCAGGTGTTTCCTTACTTCTAGCCACATTGCCAGAAAAGCCTCTGGTTGATTTCCACTTTCCAAACGGAACCCAACATTTACACTAGTCAGATTAGACGAATTAGGATCGCATTTGAGAGGTCCACCCCCTTTACAGTGTTCAAGCAGCTGTTAGTTCTGTAGAGCACCACCGCACCGGTAATCTGCGGCTGGGAGTTGCTCGCACAAACTCCCTAACGATCTCTATATTATCCAAGTAGATCTGGTGACCAGTGTTGAATGCATCAATCGCTACGACTGTCTCTTAGTAATGCCAAGTATGCGAACGTGAGCTTCTGTAGTTATGAAATGCAACACTTGTCCTTTGAACTTCGTATGCGGTGCTGTCTCGCGGTTTGGCCTGTGTGTATAAGTACACGGTTTTCAGATTTAAGTTCATACAAGCAGCTAGTTGTCCTACCCATGGGATTAAAGTCCATAAATTGCAACAGCGTCGATCGCAGTGTTTGATCGCGCAGGAATAATACGCACAACTTTTTCATGCTTAGTATCCACCGAACTATCCTCCGGGTGCATTACTAGTAGGAAATTCCTACGGTTCCTATACACTTAGTTATACTTTCTGACTGTTGGTTTAGCAATTTATGTAACTGACGTTTGATTAACCACCGTAGGTAAACATTTGTTAGTACTTTACCCATCGCTACTTTTCGTGCGGTACTTCTGCTCTCCTCTATCGTGCGTAGTCTGTGCCCTGTAAAGCAGTGTGAACGTGTTGAAGCTGACCCAAAATGTGGGGAGTGCGCCATCAGTATCTGTTGGTTTGCGATATGTGGTTGTTGTGAAGATTCCTTGCAGCTAGATTCAGGCAGACGGCCACCACACATCTAGGTCACACACATACAGCTGTTTCTTCTTACTGGGACTCAGCAGCAGCACACACCCGCCGAACCCTATCGGGTTCGAACCCATGATCTTGCTCGTCCAAGCCAACTACTTTTGCCACTGAGCCATGGACGACGGTAGCGTACCGCCATGACTGATATGTAACTGCGACATAGCCCGTCTCATCCTCCACTGCCGTGCATGTTATGAACGTGCAGAGGACAAGCCTGGCCCCCAGAGCAATGACTTACTTGGCAAGCTGTCACTAATCGAGCTAGTATATAAGTTGCAAAGGCGATTATGCTACGGACCAGGGACATAAATCTCCGGCTCGCATTACAAAGGTCGTGTGTCCGAATCCGCCAGGTTTCGGCGGTTGCGCTCTACTAACGAGTCCCAATGGGATGCAACGGCCGTCTAACGTTTCCCTGGACATGTGGTGGCTATCTGCTTGGAGCTAACTGCGAGGAATCTTCCCAACGACTACATATCGCCAACCAGCAGATACAGATGGCACATCGGGTCAACTGAAACACCTCCACCTTACTGTACAGGGCACAGACTCTGTACGATAGAGGATAGCAGAAGTACCGCACGAAAAGTAGCGATGGGTAAACTACTAACTAATGGTTAACTATAATGGTTTAACAAACATCAGTTACATAACTTGCTAAACCAATAGTCAGGAAGTATAACTAAGTGTATAGGAACCGTAGTAATTTTGTGCAAGTAATGCACCTCGAGGGTAATTTGTGGGATACTAAGAATGGAAAATCTGTGCTTAATATTCTATCAGGACCAAACACTACATATAACATTGGTGCATCTGTAGTTAAAATTGAACAGTGGCTTATCACGGATGAAAGCCGTGTGCCTGTCAAGTCCTTAAAATGGTTGGATTGTAATGTACGGAATCAAAATGTTTATCTAATTCCCATTTAGGATTATAGCTGAGCTACTGCAAAGCTATTATGTGAAATGGGAATTGTATGTAAGCGCATAAGGGGAGCAGTTTAAACTGACACATTCTGTAAAAATGCTTGATGAAAACGATATGCTCGCTCACGTGCTTTTTCATTAGGACAATGTGATACGTATATTCGTTCGTGTACGCCATAGCGATTAACAGTGTTTAGCTTACGATGTGCAGAAAGTGGAACTGGCTACAATGATCTATGGAGTAACGTTGACACCCGCTCACAGAGTCATGTATAGCAATATATGGGTATGATATTATCGAGACGTCCTTCTGAATACCTTTATTTTGGGGAAGTGTCAGCATAAACTGTAGGGCGTTCCAATGTGAGCACACATGATGGGAAAAGAAATTGCGGCGGTATTCTTACCAGCCATATTGCATAGTCAGCTTTAGCTAGTGAACTCACAGTATGGTATTGGGACTCAGTGTGAGCAGCTGACATCATGCATGGTTGGGACTCCTCAGGATCTGACGTGCCATTAAAAATCGCTACGTAGTCCTTGATATCCTGCAATGTAGACCACATGTATTCTCAGCCTTAGTCAGTAAGGTAGTGGAAATAGACCCCGTAAATTATTGATCGCCCTTCATTGTGGCGGTTTGAGTGAGGAAAGCTCGTGCTTGTGTCAGGGCTGCCAGGTATGGAGGACGTATTCGGAATTGGGTCTAATATAGACATTTATTATCGAAGAGAAAATAGAAGGCTCAGGTCGAATGAATGCGCTCCGCAATAAGCCTAAGTGCCGGTTCTTTTTTGTTGCTTTCCAGGCCTGATGTGTACGGCCGAGGTCCTTCTGTACCATCACTATTAGGTCGCTTTCAGAAGAAGCGCGCTGCAAAACTTGATCCCCCCAGCTAGTGATCGTAAGTGGATCGACGACAAACTCCCAGTGTTGTACATCTGGTGACTTTGAAAGGAAGCATTTTATGCGTCGCCCCTTTGTATGCAGTATCAAGACCGTTCTGCAGTGCTACGTAGTTACCTGCTGCCTTGGTGGCCCGCCATATATTAAGGTCATCAGCGAGGAGTAAGAAGTTGAAAGTATTTACTCTTACGAGATCGTCCACGCGAAGCAAAAATAGACGTGGATCAAGTACTGAGCCCTGTGGCACTCTGAACTGAACATAGATAGGACCAGAGATGGCGCTGCAAGATATCACATTCAGATGTCTTTAAAGTTGGAAGCCACCTATCCAACCGATGAAGCTTGTGCAAGAGGATGTGATGGTTCAGACGGTCTAATGACGTTGAGAAGTCCAGATAAACTGTGTTACCTCACGAACCGCTGTCGACCATTGCAGTCCAAATTTGGCAAGTTAGTACTAGGCTTGTGCTGCAAAACGGTTCTGATGGAATCCATTTTGCTCTGGTGCTATGATTTTGCATCCCTCCTAGTAACTCTTGAGCGCTTCGACAGTTGTACACTCCATGAATTTGGATAGCACTGGATGGATTGCTATCGGGCGATAGTTGGCTGGATCTGCTTGAGTTCCCCTTGTGAATGGGAGTGACGAGTCCTTAGTTTCACCTTATTGGAAACCACATCCCATCATGACATCGTTAGAAGAACTGATAGAGTAGATCTGCCAAATACAGAGTACTAGTTGGAGCAGTGAGAGGAGATATCGCTGTGTAACTGCATCTGATATCACTCAGATACAAAGGCTCGTTAATTTGGATTACTCACGATATATTTTATATCGGCAAAGTGGTAGTCTAGGAATTTCGTGAATTCTGACGCCCACATTGCTTCCACTACGTGCTGCGGAAGGTCATTCTATACCTCCTAACACGATCCGTTCGAAACAGAGTTGGTGAGCGACCCGCATCAAATCCGGTACTACAAGCTTATGTCTGTGTCATCGTGTGCTGCTTGGTTGCACAAATGCAGCAGCGGTCTCAACACTGAGTAATCACCGATATGTAGTACCCGGCACATCTTGATGCGGTCAGCCCGCAATCAACGATAAGATATGGTGTAAAACACATTCTATTGCACCGATCTTCGTATGGCACACCTTGCAAATTGGGAGTCAGTCTGACGGTCACATTCATTACCCGCTCAAAGCTTTTTACATCCCACGTGTGATAAGACAGTATACAGGTAAACCGTAATCTATATAATCCCACAAGGTGGCGTCGGGAGATAGTTCAGCTAGAAATGACCATTCATTTAATCGTTAATGTTGTTAGAATGCAGTAATCTGTAAGAAGCTGAAAAGCGTCGGTTTTTTTCTGTGAAGTACTCTGCATAACAGGTTTAGTTGAACAAGAGTTTTACACGATCTCTGTGGCCCATAAAACCATCGATACCATTTCGTTCATAAGCTCAGGCCTGAACCTCTCGGGGGAATTAACGCAGTTTTTAGTGGTACCCAATGATTAGCTACTGTACTTCCATTTTAATATGTT